TCTTGTCTCCAAGATGCTCCATTCTACCTCGAAAGCCACTTCGAAAACAGAACAGGGGTGGGCATCATCAGCCATATAAATTAAAGAAAGAGCACCGATCACAAGGCTGTTTCGTAAATTGATTTTATCTAACATGCAAGTCCTCTTCTCCTCCGTTATCGTACCATCATGGCATTCGTAAATAATCTATCTCTCGGTAAAATCAAAGTCGAGAAGAGATAGATGCTCCAGTGTCTGCATGAGGTAGTAAGAGAGATAAACACCTTGCATGGTTGCAAAAGAACTGCATTAAGAGATCATGATACACTTCCCAGTTAAAATTTTGAGCCGAGCCGAGACCGGCGCCGGGTTTAGCCGGGCTGGTCGCACTTTAGCAGGATGGAGCCGTGAAACTATAGCCGGCAATCTATCCCTAAAACTGCGCTGCGCCATGGCTAATATAGAGACAAAATTCTAGCAGCTCGGCAGGGACGGAACTCTGCGCTGTTTTAGCTCTTGTACTTTGATTGCCCGGCAGGAAGCTGATCAGAGCAGCTAAGCAGGCCGTGCATGGGGGGGGGACAATTTTAAGAATAACGATGAAAATGTAAAGATGAAACCTAAAGCACTGCCGCCCAAGCCTAGATCCAGGATCAAAAACATCCAACTAAAAATTATGAGTGGAGCACCTATGTTTTTATGTTGGCTGTAGGCGGACGCCATAGGTGGAGCAGCTATGATTTATACAGTGAATTAAGGGTGTGGTGCACCACCTTTACCACACCTTTAACCTGCCGATGGCCCTCCTACCCGTAAAGCTCTTCTTCCGCCAATAACTACCCATTGGCGCCAGTGACACATTGATGAGCCACAGATGGCTACTTTTAAAATGAAGTCGATAAAAATTTTCAATTTTTTTGCTAATCCGATGCTTATGTATTTACTGACATAGTTCCACACAATCACCATTCTAAGGGCTGCATATATAAATCTACCATGAAAGTACAAGTAACATTGTCAGACATGTAGCAGGATCAAATTTTCAGAGTACCATACACATACCTCGTGAGAATCCGAGTTGAAGAAACTCCCTTCCTGCAGGATTCGAACTCCGGTCTCCCGCACGCGAAGCAAAGCCTTTACGGTTGAGCTATAGGAGAGGACTAGGCACTAGAGTAATTTTAAAATATATGACTGAAGTATTGCAAGTATTAATTTCATCAAATGACAGAAGTTAGTTCTACCACCGTGATGATTAGATGGTTCTTTCAACAATTTTATTTGAACATGCTGGTAGATTCGAGTAAACAGCCACTGAAAGAAACTCCGTTTATTCACAACGAATTATGGTTCAGCTCAGAGTAAAGGCTACGGAAAAATGCTTAATAAGCATCGAAGTTTCATATTGTGAACGTTTAACCAATTTTGACAGCGGTTTGATTCGAAATATTTTCACCAAGAATATTCTTGCGTGAAATAAGGAATTGATATCACGCGATGATTTTGAAATGTCAGGCGTGAATTACCTGCACCACTTTTCTCTTGCATAATCCTCAATTTTTTGCGTCCAAAAGTTACCGGAGTCAAAAAAAGTAAAGTCAAAAAATTTGACTTGAAATCAAAATAATTATCTGACTGTATGAGCAAATTTGCCAAACTAATTGAATTCCACTATCGAAGTAAGCGATAGAAAGCCGAATTTTTATTCGTATCCCTCTGCGTAAAAATGATACTTTTTTGACAAGCAAATTACCCGGAAAGCACATATATCAAGCAGGACATAATAAAGATTAGTTGGAAGCAGGACTTGGTAAAGATTAGTAGGAAGCTCCACGTCGACTCCCGTAAACCCAACTCGTGTGAAGGTAAACGTGTGCTTAATTACTCGACTTGCTCGCTGCACTTTAGGGCTGAAGAGCCGCTGTGCTATTGAGATGCCTTGCCTCTGCCGACCAAGTCGACGTGGCCTTAGAGTTTAGATAAATGGGACAATTTGAGAATATTGTCAATATTATATAACACACTTAATCGATCCATACAATTTATACACAATGATACAAGAATTAGTCTGAATTGATGGTAATATTTCCAACAAAGCCAGTTGGCGCATGCGCAAAATTCGAAATAAATTTACTCAATATCTCATGTGAACATAAAAATTGGATTCGCTGTCATCTTTCGAGAAACTGCATTTTTCGCGACAAAAATTTCTATTGTTCCTCTGACAATTTATATCGGGAGCAGTCTGATACATGCCTAGCGGCTTCACTTTGGTTTGAAAAATTTGTGAACAGCACTTTGGTTTGAAAAATTTGTGAACTCGTACCTTTCGAATTCATGCAAAATTTTTGCTAAATTTTCTTAACAGAACTTAATCTTAGAAGCCAAACACACAGAACGAAGTCATGGTTTCATCTTGATCTCGAATAATTCGCAACCCAATAACACCTTTCTATGTTGGATAAATTACAGTGGCAAATACCTTTGTTCACTGTGCAGTTTGGGCAAACTGATATCGGTGGCTCGCAAGAGATTTGTCTGCAATGTTCCATAGATGTTTCAGACCCTATAAATCATCGATGATTCATCGATGACTCCAACCTATAATCGCCACCCTTTCGATTTATTGGTGTTTTATTGTCGATTTTCGGCAAATCTGGCACCCACCGTTACGCCACCTATAATCTACTATCGCCACCTATAATCATCGGCGGGCCACCCTTAATTTTTATTTGGGCAGTACAGCAGCCCTAATTCCAGAACCTAAATATCCTTTCTGCATTCCGCACCACCAGCAAATTCGTCTTGAAAGTTCACATTCCGTTCGCAACCCCTTTTCTCTGTAAAAGGGATTTCTCCACCTTTCCTGGGATCAAATTTAATGCTAAAACAAGTTAAAGGGACCGTCTTGGTCCCGGAAAAACTTCTACATTTATCAACCGATCTTTCTGAAATTTCACACACATACGTAAAAAGTAAAAGAAAAAACAATTTGCTAATATGAATCTTTTGAAAAAATGAAAGAAAACGTGAAATTAACAAAAAAAAGGAAAAAGGGGTACATTAAAAAAGAATAGCTTTAGCAAATCACATGCTACAATATCGAGACATAGTTCATTATATTTGTAACATTATCTAGCGGCTCTAGAGCCACGATTTTCGATTTTGCTCATCATTTTTCTTTTATGCGATTTTTTTCATTTTTCACATTTCCCCCACTCCACTCAATATATAAGTCAAACCATGCACAAATTAAATAAAATCGCTCCCAGAGTCGCTATACGTAGGGTCCTTACGAATCGAATGGTATGTCTTTCATTGATGTAGCTTGAATACTGTAGGAGTTATTACGTTTTTAAGATGGCGTTTCTTGGGTATTCAAATAGTTAAAGGGAGCCAAAATAAGTAAAATTTATTGAAAAAATAATATGCCAAAAAAGTTCTTGATATTGCAGCCCAAGCTTGCATATTGTCAATTATTTGCAATTAGGGTACCAGCACGCGTCTTTAGACTTATTCCTGTCTAGTTGAACGTGAATAATAAGCTATAAATGGGACTTTTTCATATATATATTTACATAAAATATTCATTTTATATAAGTTCAAAACTGCATTACGCAAAAATTATTGCATGTACATCCGTGGTATTTGCTCTCTTGAACGCGCATCGTTTGTAGCTTTCAAACGAGTGCCAACACTTCTCAATTAACGAGAGTAAAGATCTATATACAGATTTAATTCAAAGAAATCTTTGTACATATTGTTAAAAAGTGTTCATTTCATATATATTTTTAAAATTGCTTTACGCAAAAACTAGAGCACGCGCATACATGCGGTTTGTTGCGTTAGACGCGCCTTTTTGGCTGCTACGAAATGAGCCAATTAAAATGGAGAAGCCCAAATTTTATATTTTTCACCGATACGATCCCCTTAAGCGATGGTACTTGGTGACACAAACCCGTATTGAAATGCCCGTAGCAAAGATGCAAACTAGGGCCTTATACTGAATCAACAGTTCAAGGTATCTGCGCTGATGAAAATAAGTGACTTTTCTCTAGTTGATTAAATTCTAGCACGAAAAGGGGTCAGTTACTTGAAATGTTTAGGAACTACTTATCTCTAGACCAAATATGTCCTAAAGCATTTTTTTTGCTTCGAATTGGCGTGTACCAACAATGCAGCCATTATGACATTCTGATCATCAAGTTCATAATGTCAAGAAATGGGTTTTGATCCTCTAAGCTTAAAAATCTACATTGGATCATAAATTTGTTTCTCAGTATTTTCTTGTTGGAATGAAAAAATTAATCAAAGAAATTTCCAGATCTTTGAGTGCCTTGAGTATGGGTTGTCTATTTGGAACAGAGCGGGTGCAGTGTAGAGAAATCATTGATCTTGGTCTCAAAAAAGACCTATAGGCATTCTTTCCTACCATGGAAATAATGAATGGAAAGGAATAAGTTGTTCAGACACTGGGCAAAGATTTTCATAAGTGGATTTCAGATTATTGGTAAATTTAGGAGAAAATGCAATACTATTGCAAACAGAACTCAGAGAGGCACGCAAATCGAGTAATAAATATCATGCCGACATGTGTTCGTCTTTTTTCAATTTTAAATCGAATAACTTATGAAAAAGTATGGATATAAATATTATTATAGTTTTAGATTTGCATTTAATACAGGTTTGTTAACTTCGTCACTATTAGACACGAATGAAGAACAAACTTGATTATCTACGTGGTATTGATACGGTTATCGAGGCGGCACGTCGTAGGTACAGTTGTCCGTGTTTGCATAAAATGCCGAATGTCCATTGGGAATGAAAAATATAATTATTGAGGAAGTTTATGAAAAATTGTCTTTTATAAAGTATTTTTCCAAACATGCCATAGAAAGGAATTCAAGTTCTGTCTTAATTTTGTATGTAGATCAGCTATTACTTCATGCAAATGAGTAACATTTTAATGAACGGACATAAAAATCACTCGCTTTATTGATGAATTCATACTTCCTTTACAGGTTAGGAGAAGAACTCAATTACTATATTTCAGTGGATGTCTATGGACGTTGTGGGTCGATGAGTTGTTCTCGGTCCATTCAAAACGAGTGTTACAGACGGGCTGCAGAGACATATAAATTCTATTTGAGCTTTGAAAACTCATTGTGTGATGATTACATTACCGAAAAATTTTTTTTAACCGCCAGGTGAGTTTTGCGTCCAGCTAGGGAAAGTGAATAGAGTTCTTTAGAAAATTTATTTCTTCTTTCAATTCCTTGATTTTTGTTACATAGAAAAGTTTGGAAAATTTTTAATACCGTTTTATCTTAAATCCGATTAATCAGAGAAAATGCCTATGATCTTTACACGGTTAAGCTACATTTTGTGATTTAAATTAAAAAAACGGCTCTCTATCTTGATTCACCTGCCTCAATTCAAGTTAAAATGTTGCCTCATTCAAGATATAATAAGTAGGAACTTCGAATTGTAAAGTGACAAGTTTTAACCGGTAAAATATATTATATGTACTTATACGAGGTTCTTCACAATGAATCACCCTTGAAATTGACGACTTTAAATTTGTATTAATTTAAATTGACGTCTTTTATCATGCATGAAAATGAAATAATGGGAGCAAATAAATAATTACTCTAATTAATAAAACTGCAGAAAAGCACTTTTTACCTTGAGGTACGACATCCTGCCGGTTGTGTTCGGCCTGGGGGCGTATGAGGTGGTCGCTCCACCACACTCTTTCATCAACGCCTTCGACTTCCCAAGCATCCGCCACCTCGCGGACTATCTCATCTACCTCGACAAAAACAACACCGCATATAACGAGTACTTTCGGTGAGTGTATAAATATACCACTAAAATAGGAACAGTATGGATCGCAACGAGCGCTCCTTCAAAGTGTGAGATTCTATCAAATGGTTTCTTCGTTACTATTTGTTACTTCTCTTCATATGCTACGTACATGAATGTTGATATTCGATTAAGTGAATCACCTTCGAGAGCACTCTAACGTTAACAATCGAGTGTTAAGGTTGCTGAAAAACACCCAGATTCTGCAGATTTTGTGGGAAAAAACCCAGACAACCAAATTTCATCAAAAACAATGTAATTTTACTTACTTCTGATGGAATTATAAATCTTCGGCTGCTGCTAAATTTGGTATTTTGTGAGTCTCTGTCTTGGTAAGCTCTTGGATGAGCGTAAAATCCCTATTTCTCTTACTACTCCGGGAAAAATAGAAGATACCTAATATTCTTTAAAAATGATTCGAGATAGGATGGCAACATTTTCACAGCGTGACTTGCGCAAAGAGCAAAAGAATGGCTTACGCAACCCATAACAAAAACTGATGGAATGTCTTTCTTCAATATAGGGTTTGAAAGCCACTCATGTTGCCCACCATAGTAAAACAATTATCGCTTCCAAATCCAATAATGTTTGAAAAAGGATTTTTTCTCATTCAGAGTCGTTTTAACAGCGTAGTATAAACCACTGGCACTTCTATCTTCAACAACAGTCAAGTCAAGCAAACAATCACATATAAGGTACATACTTTTTTCAACATCAAAATATCTAACAACAGCTAATACCTGTGAAATGGATATGTCTGCGCTCTCATCGATTATCAGACTGAACTTTTCATTTCTACACTGATCAAAACTTTCTCCCATTTTTCATGATAAGCAGTTCCTTCCTGAATAAGATATGAAGCTCTTGTTGCATGTAGTTTTACATTTTTAGCAATGCTGCTATCATGAAATGCTCTCTTGCACACTTCCACTAGATGATCTGCATGCACATTGTGTTCAGCAATATATAAGCAGATATAAGTAATTCTGCCTTTGCAACTTCATCAATCTCCTTGCGAATCTGTTTCTTAATAAATGAATCAATTTTAGTAGCTGATTTAGCTTCTTTCATGTTGTTGAGAAGCTTCGCAGTCTTACACATCTTACAATGTGCCATCAACATGGATCTATTAGCATTTTTGATTTGAGTTTTACAACATGCGCAATAGGAAACACCTTTTTCTTTCGAATCTTCTTGCAGCCACTCCTTAAAGTCTTTTTCATGTAACCACTCTTCTTTATAAAAACTGTTTGTACCATTTTTTAGCTACTTCTCTAGGGGTACTTGCCATTTTCAGGGCTTTCACTGTTCATTTTATGTTAATTTAACAGCACCGGCAGGTACATATAAGCAACAGTAAAACTTAACGCACGACACAACTATAACTTGTCAATAGCGAGCGCGGTACTGTGCAGTGTGCGACGAGAAGTTGGGATTAATTGGGAACCGTAGCTTTGATTGGTAATGAACGCGTTCAATACTGGTAATGAACACGTAGAATACCAGGTACCATCTGTCAGCTAGGGAAAATATACAGTCTGACGGTTAGAGCGTTGCTCCATTCATTGTGTATTGACTGCATAATCAAATTTAAGACATTGAGAATATTTCATTATATTGTTGGCTAAAATTAACTTACTTAACAAAAAAAAACAGATTTTGCCATTAAACAGAAAAATACACCCAGACACCCAGGTGACGGCCAAAAAACCCAGATCTGGGTGGAAAAACCCAGTGCTCGGAGCCCTGCTCGAAACTGAACTACAAGTATGTTAACTTAATGCACAAATAAATAATCTGTTCGTTGTCTGCCTTCTGCAGACGTTCAACTCATTCAGTTCATGACATATGTTTTTCTCGAACGCTGCTGTTATTTTCATGTATAAATATTGACGGTGAGCATGAAATGTCAAATGACTCAACGCTTGCGTGTGTAACCGGAAACACCGCCGTAAAGTAGAAATAGTTATGGGTAAGATACCGATTCACAGATGATTTTATTATTGATTCTAAATACAATGGATAAAGAGAAGCGCTTCGGTCTGGCTCTAAATTCCCTTGCGCCAAGAGGAGGATGAAATGAACACGAAGTAGATTTGCTTAGTGTACAGGGGCCATACTTTCAAAACTCGCTAAGTGAACGTAAGTAATTACGTTCTATTTTCTTGTCTATGACTGGTAGATTTTGCTTGAAAGCCCGTCAATGATTGGCTGACGAACTTACGACATTTTAACTTTTTTTTAAAGTATAGGCACCATTAGATTAGATCACAATTATTGGTGATTAGATCACCATTAAATAGCTCACTATCAAATCAAACGTATATGGAGTAACGAATAGTGATAGAGAAATTAGAAATAGTGGTTGAATTCAAAATTGAAATTAAGGCATGCCTAAATGAAGATGCGCCCCACGTTTTTCGTTTTAGATGTTGTAAAATATTTTAACTTAAATACAAAAGACCAAGAGAATGAAAGTAAACAGAGATCAGTAGCTGCCGAAAAATTATTTTCTACTTTTTAGTCCACATGAAAAACGTGGTATTTAAAATTTTTTTATGCATTTTATTTTCTACTTTTTAGTTTTATGTTAGTTTGTATGCTTGTGCTGATCAAATCTTGCAATCGAAAACTCTAATAAAATTTAAATGTTAATTAAAACAGATGCATAATTTTAATTTGATGTTATATTATTAGTTATTATGAGGTAGTATGGCACACCTGCTTGGTTTCCAAATTACTTTGGAGTTCCAGGCCTAACCACGTGGAGGTGAGGTGTGACTTTTCGAGTATGAGAGGCTAAGTGTAGTGTAAACTACATTTATTGCGCATCATACTCGTTTGTCTAGGCCCAACACATAGGACAACACAGACAAACACAATTTTTTTGACCAAGACACACAAATGTTTAACAATACCTAGGAATCCGGGGTAGGCAGAGTTCAACATGTATATGCATATTGGTCAGACGTAGACAAACACTCTCAAGTGACAAAGACAAAGACAAAAGAAAAGAAAGTTCGGCCACGGGACAGACTCATTCTGGGTCATTTGGAGGCTGGTACTGACGCAGCCGTTCCATTTCCTCTAGGGCATCCGTGTTGCAGGGGGTCGTTCCCGTGAGCTGCTGGCAATCCAAGCGCTCAATGCGTACGCCATCGAGTGATCGCACTCGGCTGAGCATCACGTACGCCTGGCCTTTCTCAAACAATTTCGCAAGGTAGACCACGGCGTGATCTACCGTGCAGCCCTGCATCTTATGAGCGGTGCACGCCCAACAAAGAATTAGTGGGAGCATTCTACGCTCAACCGTTCCGTAATTCATCTTGGCGGGAAACTCGACGCATTTCGGCTCAATGCGATGGATGCCATCCCTGCCAAAATCAATGCTGACTGCGGGAATGTCGCGATCATCGACTTGGTCTCGTCGGTAATACGGCCAGTGAATCTCGGTGATATTTCCAATCGAGCCATTCACCAATCCTCTTTCAACATTGATGTTGGATCGCAGCATCACTTTCGCGCCAACAAATATTTCCAGAGACTTGGGTAATGCTCCAGTCTTGTTGATGTCATCGGAGACAATCTTGCTCATGTCGACATTGTCGGTATTGCGTGTGGACTCAGTTANAAAGATATGATTTTTTGTGGAATCGGTATTCTTTGCTTTTAAATTATTAGTTAAGAAAGAACATAGTATGTATTGGGAATGATATAAGAAAAAGAGACCTGTGCAAACCAAGGTATGGGGTTCTGCTTGATACGCTTCTTCATCTAAACGAGCGTTGGCATGCCTTTCACGATCACGCGCCTGGCGAGAAGCCCTCACTTCTTCTTCCGCACGAGCAGCAGCGTGTCGCTCTCTATCACGCGCCTGGCGAGAAGCCCTCGCTTCTTCTGGCTCAACCGCACGAACAGCAGCTGATCTCTTTTTCTGCTCTGCAAGGCGGGAAACCCTCTATTCTTCCGTCTCAACCGCACGAGCAGCAGCCATATGCTCTTTATGTTTAGCCAAGCGCTCTGCACGCTGGCTTTCTGCCTCAGATTCAATCATTTTTTGGCACTTAGTAAGTCGTTCTGACTTACATTGTTCCGATTCCTGCGAGCGCTCCTCCTGGTACTTCTGTCTTGCCTTCTCTAGCCGTCGCTTCTTTTGGGTGGCCGTTTCCTTCACCATTTTCGAAAGTTATACTCCCCAATATATAAATATAAAATGTTCACTGTAATAGAAGATGAAAAGAAATGTGAAAATGACTACAGTAGATTGTCACTGTCCTATCAAATGAACTATTCACTTCACTTCTCTCACTCTAAACTAGCTAAACAAATTTTCACTTCGCACTCACGATTTAATTTTTCGAAACTTTTCTTTCTTTACATTAGTTGTGCGTTTTTAGGGGCGCGCGTTCTCAAATTTTAAATGTCCGTCACACGTGCGAGAATTAACCGCGTTTGTTAGTTCTGAAAATCGCCGCTTTAGAAAGAATAGCGCTGCGATCGATTAAAGGAAAACAAATTTCCACTTCGAAAATTAATTTGTTTATAATAGTGATAAATACGCCTCGAAACGTGCAACAAATTATTGATTATTGTATTGTCATCGGGAGCTGAGCTTCCCTGAAAGTTTCAGAGCGCTAGCTAGCGGGAAAGTTGGTGAAATATCGATTGCAAGATTTGATCATCACAAACAGACAGACAGACGGACATGAAAGCGAGCTAAGAAAAACGTGGTAAAAAGGGGTTTTTCTTGGTGACCGAGAGTAGAATCTTCTCTCTCGAAGAACTGTCCTAATTGTATTCATGCAAATATTTGCAGTTCAGAGCGAGTAAGTTGAGGATTATTCAGTACTTTTCGAATTAAACTCCTAGCTGTACAATCAGAAATATATGTAGGACGCCCTGAACGAAGCAGACTATTCGAAAGATTGAATGATTTACACCGTCTAACAGTATCACAGACTGTCAAAAGTGGGATATTTAACACAGATGGAATTTTTCAATATAATTGATTTTCTAGTTAATTCAGAGAATTATGCAGTCTTCGGCATTGTTGAAGAGCGTAAAGTTTAGGCAACCTTCTAATTACGATGCCAGGAAATAAATGACTGCAGTTAGAAAGATGACGTTCTTTTGCCTTTAAAATATTCCAACGTTTTCTGATTGTGGAATCTTCCCCCGAAGGGACGCATGCCGGAGGCCAGCTTTGCCAAACTTCATGTTTAGTTCATATCCCTTTCCGTAGGTAAGAACGCTAGACGGCATAACAGCCTATAGAATGGAATAGAATAGAAATGTCGGCACTGAAGAAATAGGCCCATGGCCTGTTGCCGATTCTTGAATTTTTCGTGACTTCATTCACAAGGGATCCGGCCTTTGGAACCTGATCTTTCCATAACTGACGATTGATTGAGATAGCTGCTGGACTTATTGCCTGGTCCGTAATTTGCTAGGCATTTTAAGACTGAACATATGCTCCTGCATAGCTTC